CGGGACTGACCTAGGGTGAATTTTAAATAGGGAAAATTTTTAAAGATTTTAATAATGACACAGCTATAAATATTTGGTTTTTAATTGGCTTTTATAGGGGAAATGTTTTTGTGTTGTTTTAACATGCTGTGAGCCGCCCTGAGTCCCGTGGGGAGAAGGGCGGCATATAAGTTAGTGAAATAAATAAATAAATAAATAAGAAACTGATGCAACAGATTTGTTTCATAACATGTATTTCCTTTGTATCATCCCTACAATTAGCCAATGGGAGATGGTCTCAGCAAGATGCTGTGCCATTTGTTATCTTGTCATAAATTATCCAATAGGCATAACATTGGTAAGTTAGCCCACAAATAATTACTATTCTGAATGGCTGGCACTTATTATGTAATATCAGTAAAATCATGCCAGATATCACAAATATTTAGCAATCTGAACAAGCATTCTTATATGGAGGTGGATAGATAGATAGATAGATAGATAGACAGACAGACAGACAGACAGACAGACAGACAGACAGACAGACAGACAGACAGACAGACAGACAGACAGACAGACAGACAGACAGACAGACAGAGATGAGACACAGAGAGAGAGATAATAGACAGATGATAGGTAAACAGAAGACAGAGGTCAGAATTATTTACCGAGAGAGGCTCTGAATGGCATTTCTATCCACCCCATCAATAACACAGACCCAGAATTTATGGCTGTTTGCAGTATCACATGATGGCTTTTTATGAGGTTTTGCCAAAACCAGACATTTTCTTCCAGTTTTCAACTCCCCCAACGAACCACTGGTTCACTTAAAGACCACAGCATTTGTTTAATGACTGCCACAAAAAGGTTGTAAATTCAGGTCGGTCACGTGATCAACCCATTTTATGACTAGCGTACCTTACAACTGTGAAGAACAGGCTCCTTTAAGATCATAAGTTGAGGACTCTCTGTACTAACACCACCCATCTTCTTCCATTCTAGAGAGGAGCTGTCCAACTGCTGGCCGAGTCTCAAGGTCTACCTGTAGAAATCCTATGGGGATTAGAATCTAGATCAGGGGTCCTCAAACTTGGCCTGGCCTGGCTGGGGAATTCTGGGAATTGAAGTCCACAAGTCTTAAAGTGGCCAAGTTTGAGGACCCCTGATCTAGAGCAGCGGCCCCCAACCTTTTGAGCACCAGGGACCGATTCGGTGGAGAAAGGTCTTTCCGCAGACTGGAGGTGGCGTGGTTTTGTGTGCTGCCTACATACCACGGATGTGCCATTGCTTGTTCACGCAGCCCGGTTGCTGGCATGCCACGGACCAGTGCTGGCCCACGGACTGGGGCTTGGGGACCCCTGATCTAGAGGGCAAATTCTTGCAGGAAAAAGAGGCCAAACTGTCAATCAGCCACCTAGATGTTGAAAAGGTCCTCCACCACACACAAATACATACACATGGACATGCATAGACAACCCTTATTGCAAAAACCATCACTTGGAACAGCAGGTGTTTACAGCCACTCAACAAACTGCATCTCATTTCCAGGGAACCGGGCAAAACGTTAGAGGCGCAGTGAAGGGTAGATCAGCATGGAATAAGTTGACTCATTGCAAAACCCAAGAGATGCACATCTATTTCAATGAAACGGTGGCCAAAGATTCCGAAACTCTACTGGCAAACTCAGGAGAACAAATTGTCCACAGTTTTCCCTATTATTTCTCCTCTTTTTGACCACCTCCCCCTCCATCTTCAATTCTCTTCAAGAGCAGAGGTCATATTTATCCTGCTGCTGTTAGCAAAAGCATAATGCACCAAAACACAACCCCAGTTCAATTAACATCACTTTACCCCCTCTGCCAGGCTCTTTGGTTTTAGCAAAACTTCATCTCTGATTTTATTTCCTGTCTTTCCCAAAGGGAAGGTCAGGAGAGGGGTTTGCTTGTACCTGATCAGCCGTGAGTAGAGGTTCCTCATTAATACCGGAGTCATTTTCACTCTTTTCGTTAAGCTCTTCCTCCTCCTTCTCATGGATCTGAAAAGAGGAAGAAAACAAACTGCATGTGGATTCGGTAGCAAATATGGGCCCCATGTAGGTTGTTGCTGTGATTTGAGGGAGAAGAAGGAATCTCGCACTAATTCTTACAGCACACACAATTGAGGGATTGTAGCCAAGCGGTTAAGACACTGGGCTTGTCGACCGGAAGGTTGGAAGTTGGAGACTCAAGTACCGCGTCATGGGGTGAGCTCCCGTTCTTGCGTCAGCTCCTGCTCATCTATCAGTTTGCATGCATGCAATTGTGAGTAGATAAATAGGTACCACTTCAGTGGGAAGGTAACAGGGTCTGTGCACTTTATAGTATAGTCATGCCAGCCCTATGACTATAGAAGCATCTTTGGACAACACTGGCTCCCTCCGCTAGGAAATGGACCATCTCCTAGAGTTGGACACAACTGGACAAAGGAAATCTTCACCTTTTTGTAACTTTCACTTCAAAAAATGAAGCTCTGCCTTCAAATGGATCTAGGGCATTTCTTAAACTCCAGACTGAGTTTTACTAACACACACACTGTAGTGTGACGTTTGCCCTTCACTGAGCATGCTCGACTAGATTACTTCTGTCATGATCTGGGAGAAAGAATTGTCCAAGAAATGGGAGAGATTTCTTGAGCCAAGTAAAATTGTCCTAGGAAAAATCTTGGAGAACTGAAGGAGAGCAGTTCCTTCAAGATTCTGCTTGACACCCGTAATCAACAGACCAAAACTGCTGCTGTCTAAAGGGCTTTTAAGAGGAGGGATATTTTTTCCCCCTCAGGGTCAGCATCATCTCCATTCCTTCTAGGGGGAACTGGCAAGCCCACAAAGAAGCGTTAATACCTGCTGAAATTTACCTGCCAAGTCTAGTTACCATTTTAATTTCCCAACGTGTCCTCAAGTGACCTTGCAGCCAGGCAGCAGGAACACTGAGATAATTTAAGTAACAGCTAGGGGGAAAAAACCAAAATTTGAAGCGTACTGCAGGATTAGACCATGAGTCAAAAAGAGGGTCTATTGTGCCTCTTCAAAGTTGAATTTAGCCTTTGGAGTGTGTCTCTGTGTGTGTTTGTGTAATTTTTCCAAATAGATAAATTCTACCCAGTTACCTCATATTTTCTGTAAAGCAGTATTTTCCAACATTGGCCATTTTAAGATGTGTGGACTTCAACTCTCAGAATACCCCAGTCAGCAAAGCAAAGCTGGCTGGCTGGGGTATTCTGGGAGCTGAAGTCCACACGTCTTAAAATGGCCAACGTTGGAAAATACTGCTGTAAAGAGAGGCAACTTAAAAGAAAATGGGACATATCTTTGCTGAGGCAGAAATCTGGCCAGATATTGGGAGGGGGGGGAGAGGTGGTAGTAATATGGAATCTGCCTTGTTCTCCGGAAATCCTTTCTTGCTATTCCATTCATGCCAAAGTCCTCTCCAGATCGCCCTTGCTGTCTCACGACTTTGAATTTGAAAGGCAATCAATATGTGCTCATCTCACCATTTCTCCGGCTGCAGCAATTTATTCTGCTGAATTGCTGCACTGGCCGATGTTCTCAACTCCTCTGTTTCCTGGGGTGTCAATTGCATAACTCCCTGCACAGGAAAAGATGGCTACTGACAGGCTCCCAAAAGGGTATGGAAGACGCTTCCTGGAAGGGTAACGTACCCAAAGTGCCATCTTGGCTGGTGTGGAAAGTCCACACTCCATGACGCTAGTTGATTCAGCACCCAACAATCTGGAAGGGGTCCTGACTTACCAATGCCTCTGCCAGCAATGCCCTACATCAGTGGTGGTGAACCTATGGCACGGGTGCCAGAGGCGGCACTCAGAGCCCTCTCTGTGGGCATGCATGCCATCGCCCCAGTCCTAGGCCTTCAGCTGGGTTTTATAAAACCTTTTTGCTTTAGGCCTCCGCCGCCATGTACAAAAAAAAAAAGGTTCAATCAATCAGTCAATTTCAACTTCTCGCGGGAAAAGAAATCTTGCAAAGTTGGAGTTGATTGATTGAACTTTTTAGTCCCATCCAGTCTGCCATTACCACTGCAGCCATGTCCACCCAATTGGCCATGCTCAGCCAATGGGCCACACCCAGCCAATGGGCCACATCCACCTGGCACCCGACGATGCATAAGTGGGTTTTAGGTTACAGTTTGGGCACTCGGTCTCTAAAAGGTTCGCCATCACTGCCCTACATAGAACCATAGAGCTGTAAGAGACCTTGGAGATCTTCTAGTCCAACCCCGCTGCCTAAGGCAGAATCCTTATTCCATCCCAGACAAATGACAGTTCAATCTCTTCTTGAAAACCTCCAGTGATGGAACACCCACATCTCTGGAAGGCAGGCTGTTCCATTGACTAATTGTTCTCACTGTCAGAAATCTCTCAAACCCAGATTCCTTCGAAGAGTACCCCAACAATGGTTCCAGCCTTGTCAGTGACTATTGTAATTAGAAATGCTTGCTCGGGAGCAAAATTGTAGCCAGAAATGTTATTCAAAGAAAGGTATTTGAGAGATAAAGAAGAGAAGGGTCCAAATAAGCCTTCTAGGCCAACCTACACACACACACACACACACACAGAGAGAGAGAGAGATTAGGTAAGGGATCATATTTTTTTTCTTCTCCATAACATCCAAATCTCCACCACAGCTGGGACACTGGGCTTCTCTAGCAGAACTTAAATCCCTTCCCACTAAAATTACTTTCCTCAAATTGGTACCCTTCAGATGTTTAGTTTCCATGGTGGCTGGGAACACTGTAAAGTTGCATTAAGGGAAGTTGTAGTACAGAGCATCAACTGGCTTGCTGCTTATAGAGAACAATGAAAGCTACTGTATCTTATGAAAGTGTTAATAAACCAGACCAGTGCCACCTAAATTTCATTCATATTTTTCAGATTTAAAAGAAACAGATGGGGGGGGAAGGAACGGGAGTGTCTACGATTCCAACTTTTTTAAAAAAAATTAAAAATAAACGTGGAAATAATATTATTTTTGGAAACTTGGGGAGTCTGTACTGCTATCCAGGATGGATTTTTTGGCATGTTTGTAGGTTCTGCCTTGTGGAAAGACAGTCAAATGTCATTTTAACTTTTCAGGTAGCCATTCCCATTTCCTGGACTTCAAGTACAACATCAGTACAAGCTCGCCCCCTGTTTTATCTCATGAGTAATGGAGGGGAAGGTAATTACCTCTGTGTCAGAGATATTGCCGTTAAGCACTTCGATGTTGGGATCCCTCAAGTCCTCGGTGATGGATGGGATGTAGTTGTCTGTTAGGGCATCCCAGACCCTGCAGGAAAAAAAGCAAGATATTTTAATATAGAGAATCTGTTTTGAAAGCAGAGATATGTCCTTTAAGGCAGTTGGCTTGGCCTACAGGAGGGGGAGAGAGAATGCCAGAACTGAAAAATGGAATAAGAGCAGTTTACACACTGCAGCTAAAAAGAAATGCAGGTGTGTAGGTGCCATGTCTTCTCTGAAGCAGTAACCACGCCAATTATCTTCTAAAGTTAATCAGATTTCACACGAACACCACTAGAATCCCATAGAATCAATCAGGGGAACACCAGTCTTCGATCAGTATAAAACAGGGCTCTTCAAACTTGGCCCTTTTATGACTTGTGGACTTCAACGCATGCCTGGCTGAGGAATTCTGGGAGCTGGAGTCTACAAGTCATAAAAGAGCCAAGTTTGAAGACCCCTGGTATAAAGCTTGTATATGGAAGGATTCCTAATCTAATCAAGATCTTCTACAAACAGAGTTGGTTGCTTTAGGATCTAATTAAAGACTGAATGAATTCTAACACAAGCATCAGAAAACATTTTGGGGGCCTTTCCATTACCTGTAACCACCAGGATATTCATTATCAACATTTCTGTTCTTAATTTCACCTCTCTACTCTGGAAAAAAAAGTCAACAGTAATACATTCATCTATTTTCAATATTGTAAGACCGATCTCTGGTTTTTTATGTTTTGACAGCTGAGGAGCAAAACTGCAAAGAATGTGAGCATCCTAAAGATGTGTCATATCACCTCAGGCCATTCTGAGGTCTCCAGGCTCAGCTAAGAATGAAGTTCTTAAAATCCAATTCTATTTATTGAATATATTTTCCTCAGAGATTAGCTTCTGATTCCATGTCTATTCTCTCCAAAGTGGCTGAAATTGTCCTGAACAAATCAAAGAGAAAATAATTCTGTGGCAACGTAGCTATCAGGAAGTAGAACAAATAAGAAGGTCAGAGGGTCTTGTGCATAGATTTAGTTAACCAATGAAGATTGCTTTAGTCCATGTCAGTAAAAATATTAATCTTCCCACATGTTTTCTAACAGATTCCTAAAATATCCTTGGGAAATCACACATGACTGATCACCCCATTCCAGTTGGAAGCATCCCAATGTGCTTTTTGGCTTGCATCTTCGTATTTGTGGGCAGAAGATTCCTCTCACTCTGCGTTTCATCACATTGTTTATAAAGACACCACGAACAATTTCATTTTAAAAAATTATGGGAGTGTAGGATAAACTATGACTCAGCGAACAGAAACAGGGATTGTCCTTAGTTCTGGTGAGAAAAGGGAGAAGAGCAGAAAGTGAGTTCTGCTCCATCAGCATTATCTGACCCTCAATATATGAAGAAAAGAATGAAAAAGAAATGGAAATAAGTTACTATAACTAAGATAAATAGGTTTTAGAGAGAGACAAATGGAAAACCTGTCCCTTATTATAAGCCTCTTTTGAAAACTATTGATTTATTGATAGAAGAAAAAATTTGTAGGGTTGAGCTGTGGGGTCCTTTGTGTTCTCTGAACTTGGTTTTATTTGCTTGCAGAGGTTTCTGGACCCAACTAGGTAAAATCTTTTGCCCTAGTAAAGAAGCACTGTCATAAACCATACTAGTGGCTTGCCTTGACTGTTGCTGATAGCGGTCTTGGTGTTACCTTGATTAGGCTGTGGTTTAAGTGTTAGCTTGTTTGTCTGAGATGATTTTTCCTTGATTGGGGTATTGTTTGCTTCCTGATTATTGGTGTAGTGTTAATTGTGGTGTTGATCTTTGTTTATCTGTGTGTTGACTGCTGGCCAGGAGGGTGTTTGGGTCTTTCTGTTTCCTTTTTGGCTTTTTGATTGTCTCTTTGGATTGGTATGTAAATGTTGTTTATCTCTCTTGGTTTATCATTCTCTACTTTTAGATAGATTTATTTAGATAAATAATCTATTTCTCTATTATCTATCTCTTTATCTCTATCGATTTATTTCTTCCCAAATAATTTATTTGTTCTTCTTTTGGTTGTCTTTGTTTTCAAGTCATGGACTACAAAAATACTGTTTATCTGCCTCTTATGGCAGGATTCTATTGCTATGATTGTTGTTACTATATTGTTGTTACTATATTGTTGTTACTATATTGTTGTTACTATATTGGTTGTCTTTGTTTTCAAGTCATGGACTACAAAAATACTGTTTATCTGCCTCTTATGGCAGGATTTTATTGTTATGATTGTTGTTACTAAACACTGTTATTCCTACTCACATTATTTGTACAGTGGCAATGTTTACCTTACCAAAAAAAGCATATATTTTGTGGATTTAAGTCTGATGATAGGAGAGGGCATTGCCTAAGGTGGGGCTCTTATTCCACTTTATAGAACTGTGTTTATAGAGCTGCCTGTGTGGTTTTATATAATATCTGTAGGCAATTGTCATATTATGGCTCAGGGCTACTGAGAACTTGAGTGGCAGAACTTTACTTACTGCATGATGGACCAAATAAAGTCCCCATCATGGAACCAAGGACACTCATTGGCTGACTAGGGGGCAGTTTCCAGTCTTCTGTCATTCAAACCCCAAGGGAAGGACAAGTAGACAATGAAAAATGAGCCAGATCAATGATAGCACAGGTGCAGGTTCTCTGTTTCAGGTTGAGCCATGACTACGAAAGAATGGGCATCTCCTGAATCATTAGCCTGGTTGGTCCTGACAGTAACGATGATTCAGTTGGATGCAATTGGTTCTGTCTTAAAAACTGAAAAGTGCTTGCCAATATTGTGACACTTCCTGTCAAAAGGAGGGAACTAGAATTATCTCTGCTCGGAAGCCAACAGGCTGGAGTCTTTTTGAAGTTAATGGGATTACAGCCCAATCTCTTAAAGACCAGAAGAAAGGCACAATCTTGATCTAACAGCCTGAGATTCATAAGTCTGGGCTAGGCTTGTAGGCAAGCAAATCCAGTTTATTTCTCCAAACAGGAGAGTTGCCTTTCACAGATCAATATCAGCACCCCATTCTATGGGGTGACCTTCCCTAAAATCCAGCTCTCCCATTAAAGAGCTTAATCTCTGCAAGCATTGGACCATACCTAGAGTGCTATCAGATCATGTGTTTTTAATATCCTAATTTTGGAAAAGTTCACATCTGTTCACATGCCTTTACAATAGTCAATAATGTGCCTGTTCAAGAAAAATGCAAACAACTGCATATCTGGCATCAAGCCAAAATAAAGAAAGAGAACCCCAAACCTTCCCAGGTGTGTGAGGTACAGCGGGTCAGTAACAGATCAACAGCCAGAAGGACAAAAATTATGAAAATCTGTTCCTTGTTGGCAATGCAGAGAAAAGACATGTCTCTGTTGGTGAATGAGATATTGGATTTTCTTGGACAGAAAGAAAATTCCGCTCAATTGTTGCTGGTCCCACTTGCCTCCCAAATTTGCATAAATCAGGCACTCTGATCATTGTGAGATAGTAAAAGAAACATCTACACTATTTGCCCCCTTAATGTTAACTATGTATTATTAATCAGCTAAACTAACATTTAGCTGATTAATAATAAAAGCAGAAATAACACCGGCAAAAAAACAAGCCAACACCAATTTGCGCAAAAGTTCCCTCTGCTAATTCATCTGTAAAACTGCAAATTTAGATATTATTATAACAGTAGGTGGTAGGTGGGCCTCATCTTAAACTACAATCGGGACTGGAATTTTGGTCACTAAGGGATATGGTTGTTAAATGAGTCGTCACATGACCGGACCCAATTTTAGGACAATGTTTACTGGGATTGTTAAGCGAATCCAGCTTCCCCAATTGATTGCAAATTGTGATCATGTGATTGCAGGATGCTGCAAGCAGTCATAATTGAGAGTCAGTTGCCAAGTGCCTGAATTGCTATCATGTGACCAACGGAGTGGTATAATGGTTGTAATTTCACAGACAGTCCATAAATCACTTTTCTGGAGGCTGTCATAACTTTGAACCATTGTTAACAAATAGTCTTAAGTCAAAGGCTACTTGTAAGGGGGATAGTTTCACGTGCTACCTAGATCCTGAGCATGCATAGATATAGCTTTGTTCATTTGAGCAGGCCAGTTCCTAACAGGCCACGGACTGATAACAGGCCACGGACCAAGGGTTGGGGACCTTGATTTAGGGAATTAAAAACCAACTACCATAATAATTGTTACACTAACAAAGGAAGAATCTGTAAATTTAGTTTTGCTTCTTTGTTTGAATTTTTGGACTGTTGCTTGTTTTCACATCCGCTTGTTAGTTGTTGTTTTTTTTCTTTAAACATTGCACAAAAGTGCAATTGCATCTTTGGGATGTTTTGTTTTTAATGGACACAATTTTGCAGCCATCTGAATAGATGCTTTATATATCAAGTCAGATTTTTCTTAATTTGGAGCCCTTCAAATAATTTGGGATCCTAATTTCCACCAGTCACAATTTCAATAAAGGAGACTTTTAAAAAAAATAACAAAAAGGAAGGAGAAAAGCTGGAATCTGTTTGATCCAGTAGATGTTCTACTAGAGGTCTTCAAGTAGAAAGCACTGAGAAAGTGCTAACCAGAAACAATTTCCTGTGACTGTTCATTTCTTGACTTACTCTTCATCCTGCAGATTCTCCTCCTCTTCTTGGATCTGGAAATGGTTCTTTACCGGAGCCAAGTTCTCTGTTTTGGCATTGTAATTCCGAAAGCAAATGTTGAGCTTTTCGTCAAATTCATTGACCAAATCTTCCATGGATTTGAAACTGATGATCTCAGAAGAGAAGTTCTCTAGCTCAGAAAGAGAAGGATCTTCCAAGTGCTGGGCTGAGGAGCCATAAAAATAATGAGCTTTCTCTTCCCTATCCGCTATGTAGCACGGCCTCAGGTCTTCAAACTCTTCATCCAGGCTTACAAGAGGGGCTTCCATGTTGAATTGGCAGATGGAAGAAGGATGGCCTCTGCAAGAGAAGAAACATGAATGAGGCAATGGTAGCTACCAGTCAACCCTGGCATCAACAGAAGTGCACTGATTATATCCCATCGCATGGAGCGAAAATTATCGTAGGGAATTATCTTGGTTCATCTTTTTTCAGGAAAGCTCTTTTATGCAAGAATAGCAAATAGGATAAGCCTTTGCTTCCTGGTGTTTAGTTACTCTAGAAGTTTTTTGCTGCTGAAAATAACAAGAGAAAAAGGAAGGAGAGACAGGAAAAAAACGATAAGATAACAAATACTCCTTGATAATACAATTTCTTCCTTGTTTGTTACAACTGACACCAAGCTTTTTAAAGCTCCCAGCCCCAAATCTAACCTGTTTATCCTGTGCTTTGCTTAAACTTGTATTATAGTATCTTTCTAGCATTAGAGTTTTTATGTGTTTTTTTAACATTTTCAAATAGTTTTTACTGAACAGTTATTTGTTTCCAACTTATATGTTGTGTGTGTGTGGGGGGTAATTTATGTCAACCTACTTTGAAATTATTTTTAAGGATAATGGATAGGATTGTTACAATTCAACAGTAAATAAAACAACTGATTCCAACAGCAGAAGAACTAATAATATCTAGGCTCAACCAGTCCCAGTTTGGTCTCCTGGTTAAGGCACCAAGCTAGAAACTGGAGAACCATGAGTTCAAGTCTCACCTTAGCCATGAAAGCCAGCTAGGTGACTTTGGGTCAATCACTAGGAGACTGTGAGTTCTAGTCCTGCCTTAGGCATGAAAACCAGTTGGGTGATCTTGGGCCAGTCAATCTCTCTCAGCCCAACTCACTTCACAAGGTTGTTGTTTTGGGGAAAATAGAAAAAAGGAAGATGTTTGCTGCCTTGAGGTTTTTGTAAAGATAATAAAGTCGAGGTATAAACCAATACATAAAAAAAACCTGATGATAGAACAGAAGCAGAAAATGTACCAAAGAACACAGGACAGTTCCATGCTTTTGAAGATGAAACTTCTCATCCTCACATTATATTTGCACACATTGGAAAGGAGAACCATGACAAATGAATGGTGTGAGTGAAGGATAGAGAATCCCCACCTATAACTACCTTATCTCTAACAGAGTAATATTCTGAACAGGAAGATTAATGCACATGCAAGGGTGCTGTTCTGTATGTTCTTTGAAGCCAAGTGTGGGAAATCAGCCCCCCCCCAGAGAAAGAAATATTTTTGGATATATTTAAAAGAGCAGAAAAATATATTTCCTCAAAGGATCTTAAAGAAGCAGAAAAGCATGCCCAGTTTTTCTTAATAGCCCCAAGTCTCCCTCCCCCAAGCAGAAACCAGCTCTGTAGAAATGCAGATGTAAATAATCCAGGAACTTTGGAGGCCCCCAGCTAGAAGATTAAGAAGACAAAGACACTTAAAATCTACATACCCCACCCAAACTCTAAGACAGGACATAATAGGATTAACCCACAGATACCAAAGGGCACACTCAGACTCAGGTCAAAGTTCATGCCACAGGAACAACTCCAAACAAAGGGCTCCAGAGGGTATAAAAACCCACTCCCTACATATGCTCTCCCTCTTTTCTTCCAGAGCCATCTTCCTATCTGGCTCTCCTCTTTAATAAACTGCAACCATCTTTTTCAACACAAGCAAATAGTGATTCTCTGAAATTATCCACCACAACTGCTATCAGCCCCTTTCGGTGAGGAACAGAAAGCAGTATATTTTGCTGAATATTCTCTTCAACCAGGCAGAATGTTGCAGCAATTATGGATAACAACACACACACACACCTCCGCCCCAAAAAGAAAGAAAGGAAATGCTCTTGCAAATCTACATTTGAAAATTCCGACTTAATTATATTGAACTAAAGTTCAGAGTCAGATCCACCTTGGTGCCAAAACGCCATCTTTTTTACCAAAATCAAAAAAAAACCAAGAAGAATTATCACACACACCTAGCTATTCTCTGATGACTCAACTTCTCTAGTTCAAAGGCACAGGGGAAAAAAAAATCAGCCGCTAATTTATTCATGTACAAGGAAAATTAAGGGAAGCACAGTTTTCAAAGCGAAGACAATGTTGCCGTCTGAAGAGGAAATTCACGAGCTGCCTTAATTGAAAAATGTGATCTTGCCTACAATAATCCACCTTAAGAAAAGACATTGGAGTCCCTTGCAGGAGCTGAGTTGCAGCTGCTTGAGGCTGGCAGTAAAAACACAAATGATATTGCCTCTGAAGGTTCTTCTGCCAGCTAAATCCAGATTGCCTCCAAGCATTCTGTTTTGATTTGATAAATTTAGGGGGCAAGGGCGGGGAAGGCCGAACCAATTTAATTTCCGAAGGGAACCATTAACTTATTTGAATATTGCCATCTAGCAGACGAATTCATCACCCCAGACACAGCCTGGGACGAAGGCAAAGTTCTGTAAACCAGAGCTTTTAAAAAAGACTGCCTGCTGGGTCTGCTGGCTCCATCCAGGTTTCTTTGCTGATTGATGGATAGGCGCCTCAGCTCTCCTTCTGGATTAAAATTGCTCTATTGTCACCACAGTCGTTGTAAAGAAAAGGCATCACGATTGGGCTGCAGATCTGTTGCTGTGACAACTCCCCCCCCCATTCGCCCTCCTCCTCCCCCCTCCCCCACCTTGGGGCACAAAGAAACAACTGTTGCTGCCATTTCGAGGATCTGCGGATGAATTTAAAGCATTCTGCAACTTTCCTGGAAGCCAGGATCACTTGAATAAGCAACGGATTGTCAGGCCGTGAAACTCAGACTGAAATGTATGAATTTCCCAGGTGGTCTTCTTTACGGCCCCTCTCTGATGGTTTACAGGCACTGTTTTAAAAAGCAAATTTGGGGCGTTCCTGCTGCATTAATGATCCGTTGTCATCTTTGGGGGGGGGAGCTGCAGCATGGGATGGAAAAGGAGCAGTGTGTATTGTGTATCTCACTGTGTAGGCAGTGCATTTAGACGGTCTCTCTCTCTCTCCAGTTCAAAGGGTCAGATTGAGGGGAATGTTCTTGCAATGAAGGACATGGGAAGAGGATCGGTATTGACAAAAATCACCATCAGTCCACTACAAAAGACAGTTTTACTTAGATAAGATGCATGGCCATACAAATTGAATCAATAATAATAATAATAGTAATAATAACAATAACAACAACAACGATAATAATACAATTGGAGAACCACTTAAACACCATCCGCATTGATAAATTCACCATTGGTCAATTGCAAAAGGCAGCTTTACTTGGAACAGCTTACATCCTGCAATGATATCTTTAACACCATCAAACATCCACATCTGCCTATCCCAGATCCTTGGGAAGGACTCGATAGGTGGATAAAAATGCCAAATCCAAATCTAAACAGCTGGCTGACTGCGAGACCCACCCTAGGAATATTAATGGCATCTATGCAAGAATTACACTTTCATTCTTGAAAATGATGCTGTTAAAATGTTATGGTCTTTTCACTCTCACAATCATCGAAAAGTAAAGCATCATTTTCGTAGATGTGGCAACCACCAAGGAGAGCAGACTTGAGATATCACAATTGGGGGGGAAAATCACTCAGAATTCTGATCACTGAAGTGAGCAGGCTGCGGGAAAGTTTTTGTAAAGTCATTGACATAGTTATGGGAGCATCAGGCAGGATGACAAAGAGATTAAACACCTTTTTACAAGGATTAAATATTTCAAGTATATAAACTGCGGATTAAAGAAATCACCTTGCTGGGCACCTGTTATATATTCAGATGATACTTGAGATAATTCCCATCTTCCTTGCTGAGGCTCAAGTTTCTATTGGTCAAAGAAGTTATTATTTTCTTGGTTCTTTTCCCGGCCTTATTCTTTCATGAATCAAAACCACATCATCATCATCCTACTTATTTAAGTAATATCATCTTGGTCCAGCTTAAAACCTATATTCCCTTACCTGGAATCCCAAGGCAATCAGGAATTTCATGCACAGTAATCAGATGATTAGCCGAGAAAGGTTTTAAACCAGTCTGATTTACTTCCATCCTAGCCTCTACAAATATCAAGGCCCAGGAAATAATTAAAAAAAAAAAAAGACCAAAGTCAGAAAAGAGAACTTTTTCCAAAAGTTTCTGTTCTGCCCCTTTTTCTTCTCTGCAGAGGAAACATTCCTCAGGGCCAGCATGAAAACAGAGGACACAAATCTCTTCTTACCAATAGAGTGGGATGAACATATCACTGCAGGCTGGAAAGTTGAATTATAGCTGAAGAATCCTTTTTGCCTAGGCAATTCTGCCAAAACCCTGAGGCCCAAATCTCTAACATCCCTATTGTTCTGTTGTAGAACAGACGCCCTCTTGGGAAGACCATTTTAAATATTTCAATCATAATTACAGCCCCTTCCTACTCATTAGATTCTCAGTCGTTTGCTGTCCTTCTTCAGTTGGTACTCTCCGTTTTACTAACTGGCTGCCTGGATTATAACGGGAAGAGATGAAGTCAGTTTTGTGAGAGAAGACATTTCCACTTTTAGTTTACATTTTTTGTTGTCGGCACACTGCACTTCTGCAGCAGACTTAGCTCGTTGCAGTCAAATCATTGCTTGCTTACTTGCTTGCTTAGTTAGTTAGTTAGTTAGTGAGTGAGTGAGTGAGTGAGTGAGTGAGTGAGTGTATGGCAGTGGTGGCGAACCTATGGCACGGGTGCCAGAGGCGGCACTCAGAGCCCTCTCTGTGGGCACGTGCGCCGTCGCCCCAGTCCTAGGCCTTCAGCTGGGTTTTATAAAACCTTTTCGCTTTAGGCCTCCGCCGCCATGTACAAAAAAAAAAGATTCAATCAGTCAATTTCAACTTCTCACGGGAAAAAAAAAAGATCTTGCAAAGTTGGAATTGATTGAACTTTTTAGTCCCACCCAGTCTGCCATTACCATCTCAGCCATGCCCACACAATGGGCCATGCTCAGCCAATGGGCCACACCCATCTGGCACTC